AAAACATTCTAATTTTATGTTCAATGTATTTAACACACACAGGGAATTCCATAGAACACTTCAGAATTTACATCAAGCCTACAAAGGGACCAACCCCTTTTTCATGTAAAATTGATCTTAAAACAAATCTGAGTTGAAAATTTCTGGCCGCAAAGGAAGATTAGAGAGAGATGGAAGAACAGAAGCAAGTCATTGTAATCAAAGTGCCCCAGGAAGCTGAGAACCACAGCCCTGCTCAGCTGAGTTCATTTGAAGAGAAGAAACACAGGGTGCCTGAAATGGGAGGTCCCAGAAAGTTAACCTATTATCCGAGATGCAAGATGCAACATAGAGAGGGAAACCCAGGCCAGTTCTGAGCAGGATTTATTATTCAAGTTTATGTCGTGTTTTTCACAAGTCAAAAGAAAACCCGAATAAGCTGGTTATCATTAGCACAGCACGGACTGGCTCTGGAACCCCCAGTGTTAGTGATCTCACAGGAGGCTACATTGCAGATCCAGGTGGTACTTTCCAAGGAAAGACAAAACAATATGGTCACCCATGTGGGAGTACCATCAATAATGGACAGCACCAAGAGTGGAGAACTGGTGCCCTAAAGACAAGCTAAACCTCTGATGGGTCAGGATGGTAAGCAGCAGAAGAATAAGTGGCTGGCCTACTATATATTCACCGAAATATGCACCAGTCACCAGAGGAGCGCCAGAAAGAATGTTGCTGTGCATGGAGAGAGAGAGAGAGAGAGAGAGAGAGAGAGAGAGAGAGAGAGAGGATGGTGATGAAAAAGGGTGGTTCTGAGCAGAGTTTGTATAAACCAAAGTTAAGCAGAATGGCATACTTCCTCACTTATGAATCTTCAGGGTAAGTTAGATTTCCAGTTCTTGATGGATCCTAATGTAAAATGTTATTATTCTGATCATCTCTGTGAATGGCCTAGGAGGCTCTGTATTTTCACCAATGGAATAAACTAAGCAAAACTAGAGAAATCCCACCATTTCAGTGTTATCAGACATTTTCCTTCAAGAATATGCCCTTCAAAGTTGGCCTTCTTTGAAAATTGAACAAATTGAAACCATATAATTTTATCATTGAGTCTATGTCTCCAATTACTCCCTTAGAAATGCTTAGATATCAAAAGATTTACCAGCAATCACACAGGACACAAGACATGAACACATGACATGGCTCCTGCATGTGCCTCATGGTCCTACTGGCCAGTTGAAAAGTGTGAACATTAAAACAAAAATTCATGCTCATCACGGGCTCACACACAGCATTTTGCCTGGATTCCTGTCCATATGCCTCTTTCTCCAAGAAGTCCCAAGGATATAGCACACTTGAAGCTCCCAAACAATTTTGGTCAACTTTAAATAAACAGGTGAACTGTTCCTGTTCCACCCACATTGCACTAATTAATTGTTCTAAGAAAAATAATTGAGAGCAAATGTCTATACTCTGGGTAAACCTTGAATAAAAAGTCCAACATGCATACTAAATAAAGATGGAAAATTTTGTTTTAATAATGATACATGTTGGTATCATCGAAACTTTATAACAAAAAAACCTCTAAATTTGATGAGGGGTAAAATTTTATACAAAACATGAGATCCTTTTTAGCAAGCATCTCCTATACCTCTCTCCTATTTAGTTATTAACCTAAAAGATGCTATTTTCCTAAATTTTAAATACATTGCAGATCCTGCCGGGAAAGCATAAACCAGGGCTCATTTAGGATGAGGCGATATGGCTGTATGAGGAGAGCTGCCATATGTGAAACCCCACTTTCTGCCTGTTGAAAATTCTGTCATTCAGGTCTCCTAGGGAGATGTCCATTGTACTATTGTGTAATTTTATCAGCATGAGCTTCTGCTGAATATTTTCCTTCTTTTAAAAATCCATATTTTGGTAGAGCTAACTTCAAATCTTAATGTTGCAACATCTGTGTTCATACACCTGGGAGCCATAGAAAATATATCCTGAAGATTATCTACATTTTCTAACCCTATAAAATGATGCAAAGTGAATGAAGGATGTTGCACATTTTTCTCCTCGTTTCTTAAAGAAACCACTGTCTGACTCAGTAGAAAGATTCTCATATTAAAAGAGAATGAGTGTTTTCTAAACTACATAGAGCATTTTTCTACAAATAAATTAGGATATTAATTTACTTTGTTCATATTTAATTTGCTATATATCTGCATATCTTCCTATTAAGAGATGCCTTTATGAATTCACACAAAAGATGAAGACAGAGTCTTAAAATATTTTCAAACCAGACTCTTGAATAACTATTTGAAGTTAAAGAGAGCAAAATAAATGTAAGCACCTTGAATTTACTCATTGACCTCCTTATGGGGAACTACCAATAATTCAATGGCATCTTGCTTAGAAAATGAGGATCATGGTTTGATTATTGTTTCTGAAACACAAGATTGAGATCTTAACAAAGAAATCCAGTTATAGGTGACAGAATTCTTGTGCCCTCTCATCCACTAATAGTTCCATTCTATAGGGTACCATTTGCCATTTCAGCAGGTGAACAGTCCACAATCGTTTTTATAATGTGCTTTTATAATATGGTTTTGTCAACCAAAGGTGAGTGATTATTTGTTGCTGAAGGTAGTAGTATATGTGAAACTTTTATGGATTCTGATAGTTATGGAAAGCAATGGATGCCCTTGGAGAACTTCCTCTTGAGTCTCTTTGCTTTATCATCAAGTTATCAAATTGGGCTAAACACTAAGTACTTTATGCACCATGACTTTTTACAGTTGTTTGACACATGCTATTGGTTAAATGTTCATTGCAAATGGAGTGTCAAATACTTTGGCCATTACTGTCATTGATATAAGGACCCTGATGTAGATAAGTTAAATAACTTCTTGATGTCACCCAGTTGTCATTGATATGGAAGTGCCTCGGCAGGGTTTACTACTTTACTAGTAAACTAGTTTACTTTGTCTTCCTTTCTTTTGCATGCTACTCTGGTTTGGGTATCTTCTAAGACTTCACATGTTGAAATTCCATCCCCACTGTTGGGATTTAAATGGGTGGAAATTTATAAGAAGGAGGATAGAGTAGGCATGTGTGTATGAGCATGTGAACACTCACTCACACACACATAACCACACATATAAACTCACACATACACATGCATACACAAAATGCACATATATTTCCTGCCTCTGTCCATGTTATGCCTGAATTGTCTCAGGACTTTGCCAGCTAGAAGACCATTGCCAGATGCAAGCCCTTGATCTTATAGCTTCAGAAATGTGAGCCCAAATGAGCTTTTTCCTTACAGTTTACCCAGTCTGTGTTATTATTAGCAACGTAAGTACTGCATAAGCACTTTTCTTATAGTAACAGAATAGCTTTTCACTTTTTTGCTGATACAAAGAATAAGGTAACGGGGTAACACATTCAAAGTATTTTCAATTTAAACTCTAGAATGTTCAAGGTATGGCCCATAAATAACTGTGATAGGCAGAAAGGGAAAAGATGGCTAATTCAAGTCCACCGGAGCTGCCCTTTACTGTAAAAACTCAAAAAAGTTGCCACAAATGTAGAACCCAATTTACCCTTAGCTTCTCATGTATTGTTTCAACACTGACAGAAGAGGGTTGCCTACCTCTTCTACAGAGGGGAGAGGGAAAGTGAGCCCCTAACTTTTCAATCATTACAGAAAAGTTTCATAGTAGGGGACTTTGTGGCAAATGCTGGATTCCTCTGTAGGTCAAACTACAAAGAAGAGAATGTACAAGCTGTTTGGTGTTCTTTAATCCATTTGCATCTGCAGACACTGTAAGAAAACAAGCAACTTCCTCAAGAGAGAGATGAAGCAAATGAGCAAGTGTTGTGTCTGTACTGCTTTAGTGGTAGAACTGAAAGGTTGGGAAGTTCCTATACCTAGCTTTGTACATTATATATCTGAATCTAGTGAAGGGTGTATTGATCCTTTCTTATCACCATCAGATAAACTACTCCGACGCCGTTCATTTGACTTGCCACAAACACAGTGTCATGAGGCTGAACTCTGAGCCCAGCTTGAGAAGAACATAGCAAAGACACAGAAGAGTGCAGGGACATAAACAGAGTGGATTTTTTAAGAGTCAAAATTACTGCTGGAGCTCAGCAATTAAATGACGTCAATGCTCCTGCCAAGAGGTGTTCATAACTTGGAAGCTGTATTTGCAATTTGACCTGATTTTACAACTGAGATCATGTCTGTGCTTTAATTTGGAAGGAAAATTGATCATGGCATTCCATAAACAAGGTTTACCAAGTGATGGCGCTGTGACTGCAATTAAAGATACCCACTTACTTAGAGCGCTGTGACTTGTGAGAGGATGTAACTAATTATTTCATGGACCTTTTAAAGAGATATTTAGGAGTCAGACTCTTAGAATTCTTCTGTCAATATTAAATTACTCTGATTTCTTTAATTAAGTTCCTTTAATACAATCTTATTTTGCCCAACATTTTATTATTTGTAAATTATTTATATCACCAATCATAGCAGAAATCACTGTGACCTAATTTACTTCTTAACTAGGATTCAATGTTGTTCTAGTCCCAGATTAGCAGGCAAGGTTTGCGATTTATTATGTTCAGAGGATGAGGGGTTTCATATGTTTCCTTAATCATCACCATGCAAAGGAAGGCAGGGTGAAGTTGGTGCAAACGTTTGATCTATTTGTTCTTCTCCTTTTCCCTAGGACTTCATTTCTCTATCTCAGGATTTGGATTTCTTACAGACTTTCTCAACGCCAGAGTTTCAAATTTTTAAATGAAATCTTAATGAATAGCAAATACATCTATGTTCTATTGGGAAGGAGAGCAGTGTTGTCAGCAATACCTTTACCACTTCTGGATTTTACTCTAGTTTCAAAAATAGGTTCAAGGTTACAGGCTAGTTCGTTTCTCCCTTTAATTGCTACAGCGGTGAAGGATAGCTTTGGCAGCTCTCTATTTGCGATGGCTTAATTTAGGAGGACTCCTACCTTCACCTTCCTGATCTTCTTGGTCATCATCAGTCAGGGGAATCACTTCTGGTTGTTCCATAATTGTGGCATCTTCTTGGTTTGAAGGAAGCTCTAAGTGTAAGAAGACAGAAGAAGACTCAAGGATGTTTAAGTAGGAATTATTGAGAAAACATGGCCGATACAGAGCCAAAAGTCTTTTTGTGACCTTCAAAGATTCAAGACTTGCACCAAGCTGGATGCTGGCTCACCATTCACCAGTATGTATGTGTGCATACACACACACACACACACACACACACACACAGACACTCATATGCACACTCACTCATGCTTTTTATAGAGAAGTCATAGTTTACAATTTCCTCTCATTCTTGCTAATAATATTCAATATATTCTGGCTTCAGTACCTTCTGTCTCCATAGATGAGCTTGGGGACTCTGTCTCAGTTTTTACTTCACTCTTTGTTGAGTCATTCTCTTGTCCTGTAACAACAGTGATCAAAAAAGAAAAGAAATATGATATGCATGGCCATAGCTTTAATCCCAGGTCTGAAAAGCAAAAAATGTCCTTCAGAGGCCCTTTCTTGCTTGCTTTCATTTTGCCTTCCTTCCTTCCTTCCTTCCTTCCTTCCTTCCTTCAATTTTTAAGACAGGGTTTCTCTGTATAATACTTCTAGCTCCTAGCTGCCCTGGAACTCACTTTGTAGACCAGGCTGGTCTCAAAATCACAGAGACCCACCTGGCTCTGCCTCCGGAGTGCTGGGATTAAAGGCCTCCCATAAGGTGTGTTTTAAAATTGAAATGAAGGGCAACAAGGCCAATTTTCAAATAATTAAATTAACTTCAATTATTTTATGTGGAATATCCAGATAATTTGGCAAAGAAACTCTATTCTTTTCTTGACACAATTAGTATTCAGCTCATCAATTTATTGGACATTGGTAGATAACAATCTGCAAGGTCTGAAACTGTAGAGTCATTTTCTGGACTCCATGGGTTAGATTAGGTGTCTTTTAAGATACAGTGATCTCGAATACTTAGGATCACCCCCTCCAAATTAAAACATACTTGTTCTTCATTCCTTCAGCAGCAGCACATGGAATAGGATGTCATAATAGCTCAGTAACACCCTTTAGACTTTGGCTGAACGTAGAAAAAAGATCAGAAGACTGCTGCTTTTTTCTCCCACATCACCTGACTTCTTCCCTACAGGCTTTGAATATTTAAATACTCACTAAGATAGGAAACTAAAATCTGTTCATTTGTACCTCATGCTAATGAAAGATTTTATGCTGGGGTTATTTAACTGTTGAATTAAAAAAAATAAGTCTACACCTTGGACTAGTATGATACATGAGAGCTAGAAATATTTGCCCTGGTACATCCCTGGGCAGAGAAGGGGTGACATTTTTACTTTAATCTGGTCCCTACTTCTTCCTGTAAAAGGATTACATTTCTCTGTTTGTGACAATATGACCTGTAGTGGAGCATCCCTACATCAGGCCCTTTTTATCTATCTTGATTTAGAAATGTCAGAGGGGAGACATTGTTTGAATCTGTGCAAAAGCTTAAGATCCATTGCAAGTTCCTTCCAGCTCACTGCGCTGAGCAGAATGTGCTCTTGATCCTGAGCAGAGCCAAGCAGAGATAGGTGAGCCTTATTGAAAGCCGCTGAGTAGTTTCGGGGTTTATTTGTTGTTGTGGCTATCCTGACTTAGATAACCCTTCGTCCTACATCTTCTGCTTCAATGTGTTTTATTCTTAGACCATCCACCACACTTCTTCCTCTAAGTTCCTTCTCTGCCAGTATAAGCCCAAAGCAAAATACAGATGAGAAACAAAACAAAACAAAGCCGGTTTTATTTTAATGACATCCGTTCCTCCTAAGCTCAGTTTTGATCAAAAGATCTGATAAAACAATGAATATTAACATTTATTTACCTATGTGCTGGCTGAAGTTAGAACCCTCAAGCTGTCTTGGATAACTTTGTTCCATCATTCCCAATGTTCAGTGATGCCCTCCCTGAGGATTGATGGCTCTGTAAAATGTTTTTCTTTCCTCGTTTTCCATCCCCCTTCCCCTTTTCTGGCTCAGGGTATACAAGGCTGGAACTTTCTTTTCTTTCTCCCTGTGTCGTCTAAGTTTTAAACTACTATCAAAGAGGACCTTTAAAATGTGGATTTGATCACAACCTTTTCCCCTGGATAAGCTCCATTCCTCTCATGCTTCCTCGTTTATCCCCAAATTATGGTTCACTGATGAGCAACAACAGAATTATCTAGAAGCTTGTTAGATGTTTTCTGGCTTCACTCTATTCATACAGAATTCCAACTTACCTAATTTGTTGTTCAAGATCTCCATTATAACGTATATATGCTAACCCTTATGAAGCCCTGACCTACAGGACTTGCATGCACCAGTAAGTTACTGACTCTGTGTTTGATGAAGCACTTCACATCCGTTATCTCCACTCATTGAGTCAGCCTCTGGGGAAAGCACTGTGACAGCCATTCTTCCTTCTAAATACATTACCAGCTCTGACTGATGACAACGCCATTTCTCTTTATGCTTTTCTGGCAAATACCTTTGTTTACATTTTAAAATGTACATGCATAGAGTGAAACATACAAGTCACAGTTGTATAGCTTCATGACTCTTTGTGTAATTCACCTAACTATTTTAGGTCTAATCTCACTGGGATCAAGAATACTTCTAGAATCCCAGCACTCGGGAGGCAGAAGTAGGCAGATCTCTGTGAGTTCGAGGCCAGCCTTGGTCTACAAGAGCTAGTTCGCGGACAGGCTCCAGAGCTAGAAAGAAACCCTGTCTCAAAACATTAATAATATTAATCATCATTATCATCATCTAACACCAGTGTTCTTCCAGTAGGTTTTCCTTCAATAAGTAACAGTTTTGCTTGCTTCTAGAATTTACACAAGCAAAACTACAGGCCCTTTTAAAAAGAACTCACTTTTCAAGTATTTGCTGTGTGTGAGATTAGTTTCACTTTTTGTATGCATCAATTGACCATTCCTATTTGATGTTTATTAGTCTACTGTCTGAAGACATGTTGCCATATGAGATTGAATAATGCCCAGTTGGGGACTATTCTGAATAAGACTGCCAAAACATTTCAGTGTGTTCCTTTGTGAAAACATCTATTCCTGTCATCTGACCATCACCCAGAAGTGAAATTGCTAAATTACTGGGAATTACATTCTTAGGTTTACTGGATCATATGAAACAGTATGGTAAAGAATCTGTTCCCGTTTTTCTCTCTGGCAGAAATGTATAAGAGCTGTATTTGTTCTTGTCATTCTTTAGATGGTGTTCTGTTACTCCTGGTCATATAAATCATCCGATAGGATATAGCAAGCAATAAAAAAAGTCTTCAGGCCACTTTCATCTTTATCACATTTGAGTATAAAGGAGAGCTGGTGGCCACATGAGCAGCCATTCCTCTGCCATACGTTAAGTGCCGGTGGCACTGGCTATGTGAAGTGTTGGGAGAGATGTCCACAAATAGATGAGTGTTTGTTCTCAAAAGGTCTGTAGTTGCAAGAGCACGGGCATCCCACACAGAAAAAGTCCTTTCCAGGATGTCAAACAAAGTTCCAACTGTTTAATTTTTAAAGTTTTATTGAGATGGTTTCTAGACAGCAGAAAGTAGAAAGGAAGGCAATCAATATATTGACTGATAAAATCAGAAACGTTTGTTAAGGTGAGAGAAAGGGACATTTATTAAGGATAAATGCAAAGTTCTAAAATTGGGCTTATAAAATCAGTCTTAAGGAATGAAGAGAGAGGATACTAACTTCATTTCTGTTAAAAAGAAGGAACCACAGGTTTTGGATTCTAGATCTTCTCTAGACAAGCATGAAGTAGGCACACCAGAATGGCTGCATGGAAAGAAAGATTGAATCACACAGAAAGTAAAATGTCCATTTCTCAGTTTGCCTCCTAGAAAACATGTTACCTGGATAGCTATTGAAACACAGGGGCAGGAGAGGTGTCTCTGCAGTTGAGTATCGACTGACTGCACTTACAGAGGACCTGGGCTAAGTTTCCAGCATTGCTGGCTCAGCACCACCTATAACTCCAGCTCCAGGGGATCTGATGCCCTCTTCTGTCCTCTACAGGCCCTGCACTCAAAAGCGCGCACACACACACACACACACACACACACTTAAAAAGTAATAAAAATAAAATCTTGAAAACCCAAAGCATGTAAAAGGGAATTGTACTAAGTGAAGATACCTTTGGAAGTATATGTTCAGAAAAGCAAAGGGTACAGGAAGTGTTTTTGTTGTTTCAGCAACACATAGCATGATTGATAAGGAAATGGTTTAATGAGGAGGAAATTGAGACAATTAGAAAAAAATTCTACACCCAAGAATATAATGACAACACTACCATCTAGGATGGAGACCAGAAAAGAGAAGTTTCAGCAGTGGTAGACACACCAATGTTTCCAATATCAAACTGTTACATAAAAGTAATCAAGAAAGCTAAAGTAGTGAGTGAAGAGGAATTTGTGATGGTAGCTTCAGGGGACAGATATATATTATGGGCTATATATTCAGTGTGTGTGTGTGTGTGTATGGTGGACATGTGCGCATGTATGTAACAGGTGTATGGGAGGAATAGGGGGTGCATGTGTGTGTGGAATGGATCTAGCCAAATTCAGTTATTTCCTCCTAGTTCTATATTTCTTGACCTCTAGACATTCTAACCATACACAACTTTTGTTTTTCTTGAGTGCCCCCCTTTTGTCTTTTGGTCATGACAGGCTCACTCATTGTTGCCTAAACATCCCTTTTTTCATTTCAGCCCCCTAGCACGCTCTCCAAACAGCTGAAATGTTCTTTCTTTGTCATTTCCTTTGTAGTAAAACCTTGTTTTTTAAAAAGAGAAACCACTGGTTTGTTTATATACACACACACACAAGCACACACATACACATATCCACACATTCACACACATGCATGTACATGCACACACTCATGTACACAGACACACACACACTCATGAACACACACATACATACACATACACACAGTCTCAGATTCCCTAGGCAGGGACTACTACCTTTTTGTCTTTTATGAAGAAAAAGCTTTGAGAAGAAGCTGCATCTACAGATGTTGATTGACTGACTAAAACTTCAACTTCACCTCTTCCTTCCCAACACATAGCATGTGACACTAACAATAACTGTCTCTTGAGCTGGTCCTCTGTTATATCACCTGTCAAAGTCTGTATAGCCATCAGGGACTACAACTTATTTACTCCTCATCCTTTAACAAAGTAAGTGCCTTGTGCTACACAGCGTTCCACAGACCATATTGTTTCGAATAATTTTGTTTCTAGCCTAAGGCTAAAATAGATGTTTTATGCAAACCTCAACCTCTCTGGGTCTCAGTCTTATCATTCATGGGTGTTAAATGGCTGTGATACTAGACAATCTCCTAGATTCCTCTATGTC